ACAGTTCTGGCCTGGTCATATAGGCTGGTTTCCTAGCAACTGTATAAATTAGAGGGCAGGGAAAGAATGCAGTAAGATGAATTCTTCCCCTCAGGGCATTGCTGGACAAGTCTCCACCCAGTTAGCCTTAGATCAGGCCTTAAACTTTAATAATAGCCACTGATTTTTAATCTTTTGGTCTCTCATTCCCCCCCTTCCCATGATCATTTGAAGACCCAATCTTGGGTCTTCCAGATATGACCCCTTGTATCCTATAGTCTTACCTTTTTGCAATGGGATCTGAGTACAATTAGCTTTATTGCCTTAAACTTTAAAAGTAGCCACTGATTTTTAATCTTTTGGTCTCTCAGCAAGCACTGTGGAACATTTACAACTTCCCATAACCAAAAGTTCTAACATTGTAATCAAATAAGTTTTAGAACCAAGTACATAACAGAACAGTACAGAACAATTTTAAACTGCAGGAAATGGTCCAAACCTATTGGCCAGAAAGAAACTGCATTAATATATTCAATCAGGAACTGGTAGTCAGGCATATATTCCATATAATAGTTAACAAGGACTTGAATACAACCCTGCATAACCCTGGGCTTACATGGAGCTGCAGTCTTCATCCCCCACTTTAAAGAGCATAAGAAAACATTTTGCATTGAAGAATCACCAGCCTTTTAAAAGAAGAACAACATATTTTACAGTGTTTTCTCATATCATATTTGCAGGTATGAAGAACCAAAGCAAATACAGTTCATATGCCCTCTGGCTTTCCATACATGCTCTGACCTTCTATAACATTCTATACACCTTTAGATTAGCTTTTCCTAGCTCTGTTCTTTCAATTTGACCAGACATTCTTACTTTAGACAAGCTATTTTTTCCTTTAATATCCCAGTCTCTTGCTTTTCAGACAACATAAAAAACTTCCACTAAAATTCTCAATTTTCTTAATTGGCTCAAACACAATGGCCTGGTTTCATTTGATAAAATAAAATAAATACCAAAGTCTTTTGTCCTCCCCCAAACGATTGAGAAACTGTTCCAAGTTCTTTGTTAGACTGCCCAAGGTCATTATTTAAAATGCCTGATGAACTTTAAAACACTTCATAGCCTTAAACATTTAAACATTATCCAAAACCTATCTTTGCAATATCAAAATAAAATACCCTTTTTAGAAGTGTAGTCACAAAGCATAACCATAATTTTAAAAGTCAAAATCAAATTTTAAAACCAAATTTTATCAGTGCAAACAATTTAATCTCTAAAATCAATACCAATTTAAAATGAGTCTTGTCTTCTTAGTCTAAAAGGATATAGGATAAACAAAATTCATTATGCCTAAGAGGTTCTGTAAATTTCTTTGCTCTGCTCCACACCATGTGGCAATCTCAATATTGCAGTTACATCACATGCATGGTAAGCCACGTAGTTGCTTTTTAAACACCTCTAGCATTTACAGATCTTATAAACATAGGGACACATATTTGTTCTAAATAAGAGTTTGAATTTAACCTTTAAATATATCCAATAACTCTTAATCTATAACTAAGACATACAGAGCATATTAATAATTTAAGATACATAAAAAATGAACATATTAAACAGACAGATAAAACTTTCCTTACTTCCTCCAGCTATAATTTCAAGCATTTTCTTCTCACTCAGCGGTAGCTAATACCGACCTAGTGGGACGCAGGGAGGGGAAGGGAAGGTGACAAAATGGACAGAAACAGAAATGTACAGACAAATGCACGTGGAAACAGATTTCTTCAATGGGAAAAACACAACACCTGACCCAAAGAGGTTTCTTCAGATTCCTGCTCTGGTTTCCCTGCCACAGAAGCTCCAGAGTGGTGGGTAATGGGACACTACTCACAAGGATATTGATGAAGCCGGAAACGTCTGACTTCGGCAGCTGTGATTTTACAGCACATCTGTTGCCTTAATCATGGCATGCTGCCCAGATACGGACACCCCGAGGAATTTTTACTGAATAGAGGACATACACAGATACTGTACAGAGATGTTCAGACATTTACTGCCAGTATAAGTCCCTCGGGGTCGTGGGGTCTTGAGGATCCAGGACAAGCCCCCAAAATGTTGTGCCCAATTTGTGAGACCCCCAAAGACCAGGAGTAGACTCTGCTGTAAATACATGAGGGATGATGATGATGATGATGATGATGATGATGATTATATATGTGTTCGAACACAGGGGCGCAAACTTCCTGTGGAAACAGGAGAGGAATATGGGCCCCGAGGTAGAAGGGAACAAGGTTTTGTTTTTTGTTTTTTTTTTTGTAGGTGCAGTGAGCTTTATTGATGGTATTCAAGAGTAGGGCTCCCTGGGCCCCTCCTGCTACTCTGGGGGTCTGGGATGGAAACTGTGAAGAAGATGCTCAGTGTCAGGGGCTGAGTTGGGACAGGGACTCCTCAGCAGGGCCTCTCTCTTGCTCTTGTGTCCTTGCTGGGGTGAATGATCGGGGCTTCTTACTCCTTGGAGGCCATGTAGGCCATGAGGTCCACCACCCTGTTGCTGTAGCCGAATTCATTGTCATACCAGGAAATGAGCTTTACAAAGTTGTCATTGAGGGCAATGCCAGCCCCAGCATCAAAGATGGAAGAGTGGGAATCACTGTTAAAGTTAAGGAGACAACCTGGTCCTCAGTGTAGCCCAGGATGCCCTTTAGTGGGCCCTCGGATGCCTGCTTCACCACCTTCTTGATGTCATCATACTTAGCAGGTTTCTGCAGTTGGCATGTCAGATCCACGACAGACACGTTGCGGGTAGGAACGCGGAAGGCCATGCCAGTGAGCTTCCCGTTCAGCTCTGGGATGACCTTGCCCACAGCCTTGGCAGCACCAGTGGATGCAGGGAAGATGTTCTGGGCAGCCCCACGGCTATCACGCCACAGCTTTCCAGAGGGACCATCCACGGTCTTCTGGGTAGCAGTGATGGCGTGGACTGTGGTCATGAGTCTTTCCACGAAGCCGAAATTGTCATGGATGACTTTGGCCAGGGGGCTAAGCAGTTGGTGGTGCAGGGAGCATTGCTGACAATCTTGAGCGAGTTGTCATACTTCTCATGGTTCACACCCATCACAAACATGGGGGCATCGGCAGAAGGGGTGGAGATGATCACCCTTTTGGCCCCACCCTTCAAGTGGGCCCCGGCCTTCTCCATGGTCGTGAAGACACTGGTGGACTCCACAACATACTCGGCACCGGCATCGCCCCATTTGATGTTGGCGGGATCTCGCTCGTGGAAGATGGTGATGGGCTTTGCCGTTGATGACCAGCTTCCCGTTCTCAGCCTTGACTGTGCCGTTGAACTTGCCGTGGGTAGAGTCGTACTGGAACATGTAGACCATGTAGTTGAGGTCGATGAAGGGGTCATTGATGGCCACAATCTCCACTTTGCCACTGTTGAAGGCAGCCCTGCAAACCAGGCGCCCAATACGGCCAAATCCGTTCACTCCAACCTTCACCATTGTGTCTCAAGGATGAGGCTGGCACTGCACGAAGAGATGTGGCTGTCTCTGGAACAGGGAGGAGCAGAGAGCCGGGAACAAGGTTTTTAATGGGCAAAACTGCAAGCAGCTTTGGCGTTACATGATTGGGTAAGGGAAATTGACTTCTGAAGTGGTTTACTTTAGGCACCAAGAACATACACGGTTCTGGCTTGGCCATCTGGGCTGGTTTCCCAGCAAGTGTATGTCTAGTAGGTGGGGAAAGAATGCATTCAAGCTAGTTTCTTTTCCCAGGTGGCTGGAGCTCTAAACTTTAAAACAATACCCACTGATTTTTAATTTGGTCTCTCACCAGGACAGACAGGGATACTCAGAGAAACCCTATCTTGGAAAAAAAAATTTTTTTCATTTTATCATCTTTTATTTCTTGGAGTATTTAAAAGGTATTGTTTATGACCAGATTCTAACTGTCTTTGGCTTTTAACAGGTCTCTGCTCTGTGCTGGAAAAAAAAAAAAAAAAAAAAAAAAAGATAGTGTCTCACTATGTGGCCCAGGCTGTTTTAGAACTTGCTATATACACCAGATTGTCCTAGAACTCACAGATCTCTGCCTCTCAATTCCTGAGATTAAAGGTGTGTACCACCATATGCACTCAACAGAAACTTAATGCACACACTGGGTTCACAGGGGGTCTACAAGGGTCTGGGGAGTGTCAAAATAATGTTTACTACACCTCTTCTAGCTCCCTCATAAAAACATGTCCAGCTGGCAACTGGAATTCCTATCAGTAAATAAAGCATTCCCAGCACCTCAGCCCAGCCAATAACATACACTCATCCAAAAACCCCTTCCCAACTAATGACACAGAGACCTATTGTTGTGCTTGATTTACGAGATCCCAAAAGATCACCACCAGGAGTCGAGTCTGTTACAAAACACATGAGGATCTTTTTATTACAAGCTGCAGCTTAGGCTCACACACACTCACTGCCAAAGAGGTGAGAGCTGAGAGACTCATGCACAAGTTCGTTGGGATTTAAAGAGTCCAGTCCCTTCCAGCATGCCCAAAGCAGGGAGGATTCCTGCCTGGCAAGCATTTATTGATTGAAACACAGAAGGGGAATTTGCATTTTGAATTGATTGGCTATAGGAAGGCTCCCAAACTATTGTCTAGCTTCCCTTGTTTGGCTGCCCTAGGGGAGAAGGGCTGGTTTCCTAGCAACTGTATCTCTACTGGGCAGGAAAGACTGAAGTAAGGCTAGTTCTTCCCCTCAGGGCATTAAGGCTAGTTTAGTTCTTCCTTGAAGGTGGCTGGATATGTGGCCAACTGGCTGGCCCTAGTTCAGGCTTGTGCTTTAAACTTTAAAACAATAACCACTGATTTTTAATTCTTTGGTCTCTCACTATTAGATTTATTAATAGCTTTAAAGCACTACAGCTGGGCAGATATTAATCTATTCCATCCTGTCTATACTAGCCTGGCTACTTCCCAGCCATGTGCCCCATGCTACTTGCCATCTTAGTCTTACCTTGGCTGCTTCTGCTCCATTTTTTTGTCCTCAAGGCTCTGGGTGACCACCAACATTTCCTCCTGTTGCTCTTCCTTCTCCTCTTTCCTCTTCCTCCTCCTATTTCATCTTCTTTTATTTTTTTTCTGGTAGGGACCCCTGAGAATCTCTGACTGGCCTCAGAAGTCCTGTCCCCTGTCCTCTGGTGCTCTCTCACCCAGCTATAGACTGATAGACTGATCACTTTCTTTATTAACCAATCAGAGATGATGGAGAACAGTTTTTACACAACATTGTGACTGGAGAAATCAGCATCTGAATATACAGTGCACAAGACCATCCCCAACAAGGAAGGATATTGGGAAACTATATCACAAACACGGGACTGTTTTTCAGAAACTGGATGTTATGCCTGAAACACACGAGCTCCCAAAAGACCACCACCAGGAGTTGAGTCTGTTGTAAAACACATGAGGATCTTTTTATTACAAGCTGCAGCTTGGGCTCACACACAAGTGGTGAGTGAGCCGGGAGCCTCATGCTCAGGTTAGTTGGGTGATTTAAAGAGTCTGGTCCCTCCCAGCATGCCCAGGGGGATTCCTGCCTGGCAAGCATCTATTGGTCGAAACACAAAAGGGGATGTTGCATTTTGAACTGATTGGCTATAGGAAGGCTCCCAAAACATTAATGGTCTGATGTCTCTCCCTAGGGGGATGGGCTGGTTTCCTAGTAACTGTATCTCTAGAGGGCAGGAAAGAATACAGTAAAGCCAGTTTTTCCCCTCAGGGCATTGAGACTAGTTCTTCCCTGAAGGTGGCTGGACATGTCTCCACTTGGCTGGCCTTAGTTCAGGCTTGTGCTTTAAACTTTAAAATAATAGCCACAGATTTTTAATCCCTTGGTCTCTCATGGACAAATGACCAGGCAGTCATGTGATCATTCATATGTATATTAAAGTAGGGTGGAGGCTGGGCCAGTCATTGCCATGCAGAGTGGGGATGACTACAGCTCACCCTGCCTGTGGAATCTGCTGAAATGGTTGTGCCTGTGAAACTTCCCTATCAGCAGCTCCTCATCTTCCTCACGGGCTTTTTTCACTTCTTCCTTGGCCTGTATGGCATCCATCTCTTTTTCTGGACCCTGGAGGAAGGGACAAAAATAAAACAGGCTGGAACTGGGGTTGGGGCTCATACAATAAAGTGCTTATAGCTCAGGTGGTAGAGTACTTGTAGCTCAATTGGTAATGCTTGCCTGGCACTGGATTCAATAGCCAGCACAGAAAAACCAAGCCATGGTGGTACACACCTGGCATACAGGCCCAGAAATCATTAGTCCAAGGTCACTCTTGATTATGCAGCAAGGTTAAGGCCAAGGTTAAACCTACAAGAGACCCTGTCTCTAAATAGATAAAAAGTAACTACTGTAGACAGGGGTGCTGGAATACACCTGTGATCCAACACTTGGGAAACAAAGAATGAATTCCCTTACTGTGGCATAGTGAATTCCAAAGCTATACAAAGACTCTTCCCTCTCAAAAAAACAAGTGCTAGGGGTATGGCTTATAAACTGCTCTTTTGGAGGACCTGGGCTCAGTCCTCAGCACCCACTGTAGGCAACTCACAACTGGTATGACTGCAGCTCCAAGAGAGCCAATGCCGTCTTATGGCCTCTGTGGTCCCTGAACTCATGTGCACAGACACATAATTACAGATAAGAAAAAAAGAAAGCCGAGCTTGGTGGCACATGTCTTAATCCCAGCACTAAGGAGGCACATCTCTAATAGTTCATGGTCAGTCAGGTCTACATAGTGAACCCCTGTCTCAGCAAAAAGTGAGTTTGTAGTTTATGCCTACCTTAGTTTCCCCCCAAGTGGCCTTGCCAAACTTCTCTGCATATTCTTCATCGTCTGTGATCAGGAAATTATCAAAGATGGTTCCAGATCTCACCTGTGGATGGAACAGGCCTTCTCTGGTGGTGGGAGATATACAACTTTTTCTCATGGGCAGAAGCACTTAACTCAGTACCATATCCATGACCAGCTGTCATTGGCAGACTGTGGCTCAGGCTGGCTCACAGTTAAGGCACATTCTTAGTATGCAGGAGGACCTAGTTTACATTGCTAGCCCCTAAGAGTGGGTAGTGGGTATCAACTGGGAGATAGCTGGGATTGCAGAAGACCGAGCTCACCCCTACTGCAAGAAAATCATGAATTCAAGGCCAGCCTGGACTACACAGCAAGGTCCATCCCAGAGTTACTTAAAGCCAGGTCACCTGCCACAGCTCCAGACCAATGGCACCGATGTTCTCAAACTCTGAGAGATCATACTGCGTCAGGTAGCTGGCAGGCCTCATCTTCTGGTGGAGCCACACATCTCTGTCGATGCCCTCGGCTTTCAGGCCATCCTGCAAAAGCAGACACTAGCCAGGCTTGGAGCACAGGTATGGGAAATGCTTTGTTCGTTTTTTTCCCCCCTATCAAAGGTGGATAGCCTCTCTGACTTAATTAAAAAAGAAAAATTTAGCTAGGCATGGTGGCACACGCCTTTAGCCCCAGTGCTCAGAATGCAGAGGCAGGGGGAATCTCTGAGATTGAAGCTAGCTTGATATACAAAGCAAATCCAGAACAGCCAGGGCTCCTACACAGAGAAACCCTGTCTCAAAACAAAACAACAGTAACAACAACAACAAATATATATATTTAGCACCTGCCCCCAATTTCTGGACTTGACAGACTGCAGCAATCTATCCTTTCCCCTTTTCCTTCATTCCCTTTTCATTTCCTTTTTCAAAAGTAGCAAACTTCAAAAAACTGTATGATCAACCTCCTGTAACACAGTTACCATCCGCATTAGAACAAAAACTAAATGAACTTCCCACCCATGTGTTTGCTAGCAGCTTTGAGTCATGGCTTATCTTTTTTACAAGAAGAAACTGCCTTGCCAGGTCACTCTTACTTTGTGTGACACCAAGAATATCTTTTCTAACAGCACAAGTGGGACAGGGACAGGGGCCACCCCAAGGATCCAGACTCATTGCAGGAAGAAGCCACATACCTCATATGGTGGCTTCTGCAGCCAGTCCCCATCCAGCTCACTGTTCCAGTCGCTCGGCTTGCTAGAGCCTGCATCCAGAAAGTGCTTTTCCCAGTCCTTCAGAGAGAAAGAAAAGCATAATGCCAGGGGCACACAGGGAAAAAGGACATCTTTGTAAAATATGTTTATTACTTCTATTATGCATTTGTGCACATGTGGAGGTCAGAAGACAACTTGCTGGAATCAGTTCTCTTCCTTCCACCATGTGGGTTCCAGGGATCAAACTTGGGTCCTCATTGATTGGCAGCAAGCACCTTTTCTTGCTGAGCCATCTTGCCACCCCCAGGAATGTTTTTGTTTGTTTTCCATTTGTTTTGTTTTTCGAGACAAGGTTCCTCTGCGTAGCCTTGGCTGTCCTGGACTTGTTTTGTAGAGCAGGCTGGCCTCACAGTGATCCACCTGCATCTGCCTCCTTAGTGCTGGGATTACAGGTGTGTGACGCCGGGCCCTGATTGGAAATTCTTCAGTGTAGGTCGTAGGGAAACCTAGGGAGCACACATGCTTGGCGGGGCTGGGGCAGAGCTCAGATGGCCTACAGAAGATGGTGGGCACTGGCATCTAAACAGGAAATACTTAGAGACAGATTAGCAGGGGAGGTCTGGAACCCTGTCATGATCCCCTTTCTTACTCACTGCAGTGGTCTCTAAGTGTGCTGGATAGTTTTATGTCAACTTGACAGAAGATAGAACTATCTGAAAATAGGGAGTCTCAATTAAGAAAATGTTTCTAAGCCTGTAATCCCAGCACTTGGGAGGTAGAGGCAGGCAGATCTCTGTCAGTTCAAGGCTAGTCTGGTCTACAAAGTGAGTTCCAGGTCAGCCAGGGCTACATAGAGAGACCCTGTGTCAAAACCAAGCAAACACACTCTATTAAAATTGTTTTTATAGCTAGGTAGTGGCACATGCCTTTAATCCCAGCACTCAGGAGCCAGAGACAGGTGGATCTCTGGGTTTGAGGTCAGCTGTGTCTACAGAGTGAGTTCTAAGACAGCCAAGACTACACAGAAAAACCCTGTCTCAAAAAACAAAAACAATAAATTGTTTTTGTAGTACCTTGAAATGTGTCCAGGCCTCAGCGTGTGTGGTCTGGGTGGGCAGGGGCTACAGTGCAAGTAGATTCTGGGGAAGGTCTCTCTCACCATACTTCAGGCTGCAGCTCACCTACCTGGGCTTTGCTGTCTTCCACCTGATCCCAGTCCCTGGACTCTGAGGGTGTCTTTTCCATATTCTTCAGTGATGTCAGGTTCCAGTCATATTCAATGCTGCCGGATTCAATGGATTGGCCGTCAACTTTTACCTCATAAGAAAGATCTGGCCTTAAGATCAGGGTGTAGAGGTGCGTGAAGCCATCAACCTGCACAAAGGCCACAGTGAAGTATTCTTTTATTTTATGTGTATTTTTAAAACAGGAACTAGGGACAGGAGACAGCTCAGTGGGCAAAGGCACTTGCCACCAAGCTTGGCTACCTGAGTTCAAATCTGCAGGACCCACATTGGTAAAAGGAGAGAAATGACTTCAAGTTGTCCTCCAATGGAGACATACACATGCATGCATGCGCGCACACACACACACACACACACACACACACACACACACACACAACACATGCGCCTGGGTTGGGGGGGGAAAAACAAACCTAGGTGTGTCAGGGGTCGCAAAGGCCTCTACTCCTAGCATTTGGGAGGCTGAAGCAGGGAAATGGTGGGTCTCTGGCCAGCCTGGGCTACAGTGTAGAACCCTGTCTTAATATCCAAAACAACAGGTTGGTAGTGGCTCAATCTGTAAGGCCAGTGCTTGGGAAATAAGAGGCAGGGGAGTCAGGAGTTCAGGGTTATTTTCAACTACATAACAAGCCAGCAAATGTATTTGTTCTGTGTGCATTTGTGTGGAGGCCAGAGGCTGATGTTGGCTTTATCCCATCATTGATGCCCGCTATTTTTACACACAGGGTCTCTCAGCAAACCTGGAGCTCAACAGCTTGACTAGACTGACTATCTCCTTACCACACAGCCCTGGCCCTGGGTTTACAGGTTGAGGTCAAACCCGGGTCCTCAGGCTTGTTCACTCCACACATCTCCAACTTGTGACTCCTCCTGCTTCAGCCTCTGAACAGTGGGGTTCAGTTGTGAGTCACCACACTAGGGTGACATCCCCTGAGATTTGGGGGGGGGGGTTGTTTTTTTGAGACAGAGTTTCTCTGTGTAGCCTTGGCTATCCTGGCTCTCACTCTGTAGACAAAGCTGGAATTAAACTCAGAGATCTAACTGCCTCTTCATCCTGAATGCTGAGACTAAAGCTGTGTCACCATGCCTGGCTAGATTTCTTTTTATTACATTTCATCCAGTGGGTGGAGGTCAAAGGACAACTTTTGGGTTTTGTCCTTCTACCCTGTAGGTCCCAGCAATCGATCTCAGGTCTTCAGACTTGGCAGCAAACTCTCTTACCCACTGCACCATCTCTACCCCACTTCCAGGTTTTCAAAACTGAGAAATTCTCCACTATGAACCTGGACAGGAAGCTGGGAGCCAGTGAAACTTCCAGCATCAGAATCTGGGCTGGAAACCTAGTCCTCAGATTTGAAGAATCCTTATAACTATATATGCCTGTGTATGCACACACATGCCTGTGTAATCCTGGGAGCATGGAAGTCAGAGCAGAACCACACTTTTCATCATGTAGGTTCCAGAGTTCACATTGAGGTTAAGTTTGGTGGTTTACTGAGTCATCTTGCCAAGCCCTCGTTCTGAGATTCTGTTTTTATTAAATGTGCGTGTGCGCGTATGCACACGTGTAGAGGCTAGAAGAGGGCACTGGAGTCCACGTGGGCGAGTAAAGCAGCTGTGAGCTGACATGTGTGGTGAGAGCTGAGAGTGGGTCCTCTACAAGCAAAGGCATTGCTCTTCTTTTCAGCTTCTAGCAGGGCTCTTCACTCTCACTAGCTCCTTGCTGATTTGAGAAGCAAGCAGAGGAGCACGCTCTCATAGCAGGTTGTAGGGGAAAGCCCGTGAAAATTAGGCTGGCAAAAGCCATTCTGGGACATGTGGCTGGAGAGCCCCCCACTTGACTCACCATGCCACACCTGATTTCATGTTCTCACATTCTTGGCAAATTTTCTCTGCCTTTGAGTAGACAGAACATTTTTAAATTAACACATAGAAAGCAGGCTTGGACAGCTGACTGGAAACCATTCTTCTCCTAGGTGTGGTGGTGCACACCTCTCAGGAGGCAGAGGAAGGACATCCTGGTCTCCACCCTAGTCTTTACTAAGAGTTCCAAGCTAGCCAGGGCTGCAGAATGAGACTCTGCCAATGAGCAGATAATTCCTGCTTGGTGCCTGTGGAAGTTAGAAGAGTTTGATCTGAACTCTGGATCGGGAATTACTAGTGGTTGTGGGTCTCCCCATGTGAGCTGGAATCAAACCCAGGTTCTCTTCTTGAGCAGCCAGTGCACTTACCCACTGAGCTAAGCTCTCTTTCCAGCTCCTGTGCATTTCTTTTTTCTGTGTGTGTACATGCCGTGTGTGCAGACCAGGAGCTGAGGCTACTTGTCTGACAGCCTTCCACAGAGGCAGTGCACTCAGTCACTGGGCTGGCTGGTCTACGTAGCCTGTTCCAACAGCATGTTCCAACCTGCCTTATGCTGCTATCTGTCTCTTGTGTGCCTGCATGTGTGCTTACTGCCAGAAGAGGACACCAGCTCTCATTATAGAGTGGTTGATGGGAATTGAACTCAGGACCTTTGGAAGTACAGCCAATTTTCTTAACCTGAGCCATCGCTCCAGCCCCAAGTGTCTCTCTTAAAAGCCAAACCAAAGTCCAATGCTAGTGGCTCACACTTTGGAGGCAGAGGCAGGCAAATCTCTGAGTTCAAGGCCAGCCTGGTCTATAGAGTGAATTCCAGGACAGCCAGGACTACACAGAGAAACCTTGTCTCAAAACAAAGAAACATGTTCTGGGGCTGAGTATGTGCAAAGGCATTTCTGCCCATTGCTTTATAGTCATTTACATGTGTGGTTCAAGACCAAAAGTGAGTCTGGCATATTCTCTCATCTCTCTCTCATTTTTTGAGACAGGGTCTCTCTATGAGGCCCTGACCAGGCTAGCCTCAAAATCAGAGATCCTCCTGCCTCTGTGTTCCTAGTGCTGGAATTAAAGGCTTGTGCCACTATGCCTGGGTCTCTTTATTTGTCCTAAAATCTGAGTGAGGTTGAATACAAAGGTTATAGGTTAGTTCAGCAGATGTGGAGGCTTGAATAAAAATGGCCCCCATACCTTTATATATTTGAATACTTAAGTCACCAGAAAGTAGAATTCTTTGAAAGGATTAGAAGGTGTGGCCTTCTTGGAGGAAGTGTGTTACTGGGGAAAGGGTTTGAGGTTTCAAAAGCCTAAGCCAAGCCCAATGGCTGTCTCTCCTCCCTGCCTACAGATCAGAGTATAGAACTCTCAGCTCCTTCTCCAGCACTCTGCCTGCCTGTGTGCTGCCATGTTCCCACCATGCTGATAATGAACTAAACCTCTGAAGCTGTAAACAAACCCCAATTAAATGTTTTCTTTTATAAGAGTTGCCTTGGTCTTGTTGTCTCTTCACAGCAATAGACCAAAGACTAAGAAAACGGAGGAAAATATTAAGACAGCCTAACTTGGAAGCTATGGCCTTTCTGCTTAGGTGTGAGCCACCATGCCCAGCCTTTTTCACATGCATCAGGCAAGAAGCACAAGGCACATGTGTGAGTCTGAAGCAGGAGGATCACGGGGTGTGAGGCCATCTATCTGGATCATGCAGTGAGATGAATTAAAGAAGATAAAGAAGTGGGAGCTAGAGATGTGGCTCTCACAGGGACCAGAGAATGGTTTGCAGCACCCATGTCAGGCAGCTCCAAGTACTCAGTACCCTCTTCTGGCCTCTGGGGTACTGCACTCACATGCACACACACATAATTAAAATAACATTTAAAAAATAAAAAGGGAAGGTAAGGAGAGAAATGAAGAAATAAAAAGGAGGGGGAATGGGAGACATGGAGGGAGAGAGGAAGGGTTGAGGGGTAGGCAGAGAGAACTCACTGTGATATTAGGGCACTCACCTTGCATCTGATTGGCTTCTTGTTTGCATGATACTGATTCTTGAAATATAAGATGACATGAACTTTCTTAACATCAAATCCACAAATATCAGGTCCTACCGGAAAAAAAAAAAAAAGCACTCTCAGTTTTCTTCCAGACTGTATCGGCAAAGAGAAACACTAGGCCAATCATCCCCCCCTAAATATGAGAACCACCACCATGTCTGTCTGGGGGTGCCCTGACTGTACCAGTAGACACTGCAACAAAACTCTGTTGACCAGCTTTTTTCTGCTAACATCACCTTGGACCCAACTGTGAATCCGACTGGGCAGTGTCAAACTCCTGTGACTACAGGACTGGGAGGCTGAGTTGGGAAGACAGCTGACCCTAGGCCAGCCGGGCAATACATTGAGTACCTGTCTCCAAAAGCAAAACAATGAGCTCAAGAGGCAACTCAGAAAAGGTAACGTCACTGCCACCCAGGCTGAAGACTTGAGTTCTATCCCTGGAAACCATAAGGTGAAAGGAAAGAGGTGACTCCTGCTCCTTGTCCTCTGACCTCTACATGTGCACCATAGTACACGCATGCCTTGCGCAAGTAATAATAGTAATAACAACAATAAAAATTACTATTAAAATTATATAATTATAAAAGTATATATATATGTATTTCTTGGTGTTTTGAGACATGGTTTCTCTGTGTTGCTCTGACTGCCCTGGAACTCACTCTGTAGACCAGGTTGGCCTCAAACTCAAGAGATCTGACTGCCTCTGCCTCCTGAGTGTTGGGATTAAAGGTGTGCACCACAACTACCCCACAATAAATAATTTTTAAAAGACTTCCGTGGGAGCTGGAGAGATGGCTCAGAGGTTAAGAGCACTGGCTGCTCTTCCAAAGGTCCTGAGTTCAATTCCCAGCACCCACATGGTGGCTAATAGCCATTTATAATGAGATCTGGCGCCCTCTTCTGGTGTGTAGGCATGCAGGCAGGCAGAGCACTAATAAATAAATCTTTAAAAAAAAACTGTTTTGTGTGACTCTCTCTTTCTTTGTGTATGTGTATATGTACATGCAAGGTACCTTTTGTCCCAAAAAGAAGTCAGAAATCTCTGGATCTAGAGTTAGAGGTAACAGTGAACCACCCAGCTCTGGTGCTAAGAACTGAACTAGGATCTTCTGCAAGAGCAGAAAGTGCTGTTACCCACTGAACTGTCTTTACAGCCCCTAAATATATATGTTCTTTAAAATGAGAAATAAAGTCAGCTCAGACTTTTAATCCCAGCACTCAAGAGGCAGCGGCAGGAGGATCTCTGAGTTTGAGGCCAGCCTGGTCTACAGGGTGAGTTCCAGGACAGGCAAGACTATATGGAAAACCATGTCTCAATAAACGAATAACAGATGAAATGATAAATTTTTTAAAAAGCACAAAGAGAACGAGGGCATTTGTGCTACTTTGTGTTTTTGGTTTACAGTGGTAGGAATGGAGGCAGCGGCCTCAAGGCAGCCAACTAGCGCACAGCGTTACTGCTGCCAGGGCTACCGCAGGGCCCAGCAAATTTGTTTCATTTCAGGGTGCTGTGCATGTGTGCACACAGGCATGTGGGCAGAAGAAACACTTCAGGTGTTCTCTATCAGCTGCCAGAAGCTGCTCTTTTCAGCTAGAGTGGACAACCTAGATTCTGCAGGTTTCTTGCTCTGAGTGTGGGAAATGCAGGTGCACACAGCCTCGTCCGGCTTTAAATGTGGGTTCTGGGGATCTTGAACTTAAATAGTTACCACACTGAGCCACCTCCCCAGGCTATGTTTTATTTTCTACATTTTGGGGAGGTTTTGAGACAGGGTATCATTGTAGCCCAGGCTGTCCTCAAACTTCTGATCTTCTGCCTCCACCTCCCAAGAGCTAGGATTGTTGGGGTAAACATCCTTACTTTGCATGAAAGTGTGACCCTGTATTTTCAATTGTTAATTCTGTACCTTGGCAAAAAGCCAGGTGCTGGTAGGATTTTCATTTCATCTTAGTACCATACCTGGCAGAGAGCTAAGTGCTGACAGTACTGTCATTTCTATGGCCCATCATAGGCTTCCTATTTGTAACATCCCTACAGGCGATCTAAGAGACAGTCTGGTCTTGTTTTACTGTAAAGACCTGACAGCCAATATCTAGGACAAGAAGCATGAGAGTGGAACTTCTGGGCAGAGAGGGACACAAGGAGAATGATATGGGGGTGGGATAAGGTGGGGGGAGGGGGAAGTTGGGATGCAGACACAGGATAGAGCAGAGAGGAGACTGCCCCAGCGAAAGGCCTAAGCTTGTAACTATACTAGAAGCCCGCATTATTTATATCTCAGGCCAGTCCATTAAAAGCCCCACTACATGGGGATGACACCTGTGTTGTGTGTGCTTGGGATAGAACCCAGAGCTTCTGGTACTCTAGGCAAGCATCTAGCAACTGAGCTGAGCCCAAGCCCACTCTTCAAGTCTTTTAAGTTCTACAACACTTTTAGAAGTAAGGAGAAAGTCCCCCATCCCTTACCTGACAATCCAGACATGTTTCAGAGGCCAGAGTTTGTCACTTTGGGATATATCTGTTGACTTCATCTGCCCAGTGTCTCCACTGAAATCCCAAACTTTATCAGTGTTTCAAATCTCTGGAGGCAAGTTCTTGCTATTTGGCCAGGCTGCTGCCACACTCTCAAACTTTCTGCCTCTTCTCCTAGGTGCTGTGCAGCACTAATAGCTCACACTCTTAAAAATGTATATTTTTCTGGCCAGGTGTGGTGGCGTACACCTTTAATCCCAGCACTTGGAGATGCAGAGACAGGAGGATCGCTGTGAGTTAAAGGCCAGCCTGGATTGCATAGTTCCAGGAAAGCCAAGACTACAGAAAGTGACCCTATCTCAAAACAAACAAATTTTAAAAAAATGTATGTATATGAATGCAGGTGTATACTCAACAAGTTTCAGGACTGAGGCTGCAGCTCAGTGTTAGTGTTTACAAGGCCCTGGGTTTCACATCCAACACAGCCATGTTTAGGACCAGTGAGAGATAGCTTAGCAAATAAAGATGCTTGCCATCAGGCACAAAGGTCTGACTTCAATTCCCAGAACTCAAATGGTGAAGGATGGAAAGAACCAACTCCTTCAGGTTACTGCAGCTGCAGAGATGGCAGAGCTGTGAAGAGCGCTGGCTGCTCTTGCAGAGGGCCTGGGTTCTGTTCCTAGCACCTGCTTGACAGCTGATAAACACCTGGAATTCCAGTTCCAGGGGGAACAGACCACCTCTTCCCATTTCCTCAGTCATCTGCAAAGATAAACTCTCACCCAGGCAGGTGCACACGCAGTCACATGAATGAATATTTTTGTTTTAAATCCAAGTTCAGATTCTGAGGCCTTTGGCTTTTTGATTCTTATGCCCAACAATGCTCAGCCTGCACTGGTGGGTTTAACAGTGCTACGAACCCTGGTCCCACCTGCAGTGTAGTGTTGGAAACACTTGGCCTTCCCTGCTGAACTCACCAAACATGATGTAGTACTGAGACTTTCCATTCATATTCTTCTGATCTAGGTCAGAGGGGAACACCTTGATGTAGCCACCACCGCAGTCCATCTTCTGCTCATGCTTCACCGTGTACTGGATTACCAGGCTCTTCCCTTTGTTGCTGAATGGCTTGAAGCGAGCTGAGATGGCATAGAATCGGCTGTTCTGGGTCGTCTGCAGGCCTTCCAATAGAAGGTGCATGAGTCAGGACAACATTGCACCCAACAGCCTGTAACTGCTCAAATTCATGTGATGACCACTGTGCACAGGTAGTCACACGGAGTGCCACTCGCAACTGGGAAGAACCTACACTTCACAAACTCAGTGCCTTTGTACTTAACAACCTTTGCTAGGGCCAGCTGCATGGCAATTTGATGTTAGCCTGGGCTACATGAACCCCTGTCTCAAAAGCAACACAGCATACCCATAAGATAGCTCAGCAGGTCAAGGTGCTTGCTGCCAAGTCTGAGCTTGATGGAAGAAGATGTTGTCTGTCTGTCGGGAGCCGTGACTCCAGCGGCCTGCTTTGATATTTAAATCTCGGTGGAGAGATGGTTTTTAGCAGGCCTTTACTAATGGCAGAGAAGAACTTGCAAGTCCATCTCCTTTTGTTTGTGACAGCAGGTGGGATAGCTTGTGAGGGTCACACCTCTTCCTCAGGCTCCTTGTGCAAATTAAACCATTGTTCTGACATGTTTCTACTCTGGCTTAGAAACTCTACAATAAAAAGACAGGCCGACAGTTACTGCAGAAGAAGGCTGAAGATGATGCTCCAAGCATCCTGTCTCAACTCTTGTGTAAACAGGACACAAATAAAGCAACTAGATACAATGTTGTGCAATGGGAGGAGCCAGAGGACAGGAAAGAGGGGAGGAGCTAGAGAACAGGAAGGGGCGAGGAGGAGGAGCAGAGGAGAGCGGAGGAGGAGAGCGGAGCTGGAGGAGAGAGCTTAGAGAACGTGGAGCATGAACCAGACCTAAGATTTCACAAAAAGCAAGTAAAATGTGGGAAATCTAAATGTTAGGAAACAGAGGGCTGGAGGCAGAAACTTGAGACTTGCTGCTTGCACTGCTTGCTGCAGCAGCCTGCCTTTTGCTGTGGCTGTTGAGTCTGGACCTTTAAAAAAGTTTCCTGTATGCTGTGTGTTTATTTAAATAATATTAATCCTCACTCCCGACTCAAGAACCGTTCCACTCTGCTGGCTGGCTCCAGCAGTTGTCAAGTGTTTTTTAGCATGTGTATACACACACACACACACACACACACACACACACACACACACACACACA